CCTGCTCACTAACCTTGCTTCACATGTGCACTGCATGTGCGGATGCAGGTCCACCATAAGGCAAATCGGCTCAACTTTCATTTACGCAGGGCGTCTGCCTAAAAGACTCCGGTCAGGTTCATAAGCCCGACCGGCCTACAGACAGCTTCTGTTCCATGGTCAGCAATTGGTTTTGATGTAATGGCATTAGTCTGAAGATAAGTGAGGCATCAGAACAGAAACCAAATTCTCATCATCTGCATGTCTCAGGATCTACGACATGTAGCTCTTATAGCGTGCACAGGTCCATGGGAAGGGACAAAAATGAGGCCTGAATTGTTGCGCACCTGTTGCCCGGAGCAGTGAAAAGCGATAAAACCCTCGCTTCCTCGCAAGTTTGGGTTCTTTGAGAGGTTTGCTCCTGACAGCAAGCCTGGCGGTGACAGGCCAGGGTCTGTACTGCTGCTCAAGTAAGCGTCCGCTAAGCATGTTACCAAGTTTGAGCTGACAAGTAATTGATCATGATTTATCAGCGGAAGCCTACTGCCCACTGTAAAAGCACCTTCTTTGAAGGTCCCTTGGGCACCAGGACGCGATATTCGCATCCATGGCATGCTGCCTCTAAACAACAATCATGCTGGCAGGCTGGGCAGCGCCACGCGCTGATGCACAGCACCAGCTTAAAAGGTACTGGACAGCTTTCGTCAAGCAATAGCCAGCCGGCTGTCACCTCACATGATGCGTGCAAGTAATACATTTGAATCACTGAAGCTTGTTTCTATGCCTTGATGTCGCTACGGGTCAGCCAAGGAACCGGAATTCACACTGAGCGCCAGCGCCTCCAAAGCTGCCAAGAAAAATTGGGCAGCATCACTACACATGACCTTTGATGTATGATTCTCACGATTCTAGTGGCCACTACTATCAGATCACTATCACCCCTTTCATCCCGACATGAAGCAGAATCGCCCCAAACTGAAGCTATTGCAGGAGGAGCGCCATCTGTTAAGGCATGGCCTATTGGTTTCAGTAGGCACGATCTGAACGCAAGGCTGCTGAAATTGAGACTTACTAGCCGTCCAGGACATGGCAATGAGGAAATCCAGGCAGCTTTCAGCTGCATCCCTGCGCATACTATGCCGTAGTACCACTGAGTTTGCACAGGGCATGCCTCATGCTCTGTCGCGAAAGCTTTCTGAAGCGTCGAGACGACACGATGCAGCCTCAGCGCTGTCCATGAGATAACACTCCAATGTATAAGATCGCCTTCATCTCAGCACCTTGCTCGCTGTCCAGTCCTGCCAGCCGCTGGTAGTCCTGCGGCGGTGCACCCTCTATGAGTTCGGGATTCCAGACTTACTGTCTCGAACTCGTGCAGGCCACATGTGGCACTGATGTGACACACAATGGACGCTCTGTCTCTGCTCCAAATGAGACTCTGAGCAAGCATGTTTCCAGCAAGCTAAACTCTCCAAGACGTAGCGTCAGTCTATTGCACCCAACACTGTACCCAACCACAGCCCATCACAACCCCAACCACAAGGGATAGTCCAGGACTGTGGGAGTGAGACGCAGAGTGTGCTGCAAGCATAAATGCACTGAGGCTGCTGCCTCGGAGAGGAGACCACAATGCTGCTCCATATGATGCCTTCGATACACAGGCTGGAGCATTACGATGCAGCTCAAACACCAAAGCAATGTCAAGCTGCCCTTGCAACCTGTGCACGCAAGAGTGGTACATTGAACAGAGGGTGTGCCCATACGTGCCCCCAAACTTGCTCCGATATGCTTCAAAGGCGGATGGTTGACGATGCTTCAGGTTGAGGCTTTGTTCAGCTGACATCAGATGTCGTGGCACACACGTTGATGTCTATGGAAAAGCGTGCCAGAAATAGAAGCGGACCCCTGAGCTCATTCGTCGCGACATTGAACCCTGCAATGCCCACTTTTGTAAATCCCAATTTGCTGAGACCCACATTTTCTGAAGCGTGCGGTTTACAAAACAATGTCGGAGCAGGTAGCTGTCAGATCCTAACTGCACACCTCATGGGCGAGGCCAACATGTATATGCGCGTCAGCATTAAAGTGCGGAGTCCCCAAACTCTCCCCCAACCCACCGCCCACTGCAATCTTGGCCGGGCTTCAGCCGCGTTCGGAGCTCCCCTGCCAGGGCCCTCCGCCGGCGCGCCAATTGACGAAGCTGGCGCCCTGGTTCTGCGAAGGACCGCGCCTTGCTTGCTGCAGGCTAGATCTGTGGTTATGCTGCAGACTGCAGACATCATTGAATTTTGATTGCGTGAGCTACGGTCCAAGCTTCTCACTCTTAGATCCGAGGTAAAAAGTGGAAATGACTCGAAATCGAAAGGACATATTTGGAAACGCGCTTTCCAAGATCAAGTAAGCTACACCGCTGGGGAGAGCACTTCCGAAATACCAACAGCACATCAAAATCGCTGGGGTCATGTTCGAAAGTGCTTCAATTCAACTAAATACAGCAAGTAGCAGCGTGAAAGCTTGGCAAGCGCAAAGTATTCTGTTTCGTGGCCTTGCTGACTATGCGAAATACAAGTCTGCAAAGCAACCCAAATCGAGCATGGAAGGGCATTGAGGATAAGGGATGGGTGGAGTGTGCACCCGAAGGAAATGCCTCGAGCCATTTCTCCGGAGGCGGCGGCAAGCGGCTATGCGAATCCAGCGACGCCTGGCTGGCTAGATCTGGCTGGGAAGCAGAAACGAATCAAGAGCCTCATAAGCAATCGATGAGCTGCCAACATGTGCAACGCCAGCTGGATTTCTACTGCCCGATGTGAAAGCAAAGCAACACCAAACTGCCTCTCCCGGCATCTCCAGCACAGCTTGTTCTGCGGGGTGCTGTGCTTTGCCAGCTTTCCCGGCAGGTCTGGCAGCCTCCTGCGGCACATCGCCTTGCCTCGCCGGGTGCTGAGTGTCATGCGTTCAGGTACAACAACTTGGCGTTTGATCTGAGAAGTACTTCAACGGCCTGTCCACCGAGCGACGTTGGGGCGCAGAACAGTGCTCCAGAGGCACCTAAACAGCATTAAACACGTGGTTCAAAGATCTGGCTTAAATGGGTCTCCAGAATTTCCCAGCATGCGCTGTCCAGCCAATGCGTTGACAAATGGGCGCTTTTCAGCGAGGAATAGAAATACTGCCATCCCTCAATATCATCCAACCAAGCGACATAAACATGGCCCTGCTCAGGCGCATTCATCAAAAACAGAATGCGTACGTAACCAAGCCCGTGCAGCAATTTAGCTGCAATACTAGTATGGCTAATCTGCTGAATCGTCTTATCACTCTGTGCTCGCAAACATCTAGAGCACTCCGCTGGAACACTCCCAAACCTGGAGACCGGCCTGGCTGCTTCTTTCGTTGACCGCATTCCGGGAGCTCAACCCCTTCGAGGCCACCGGATCTCCCCGTTGCCTGAGCTGCTTATGCGTTCCCTGGAATGGCGATCATATGGTGGTCAAGATTCTTGCAGTTCATGACATGCTGGGCCTGTCAGCTTCGCTCGTGATCAGCCTCTCTTGTAGTTTAAGTCCCAGCGGCAGCCTGCTTTGCGACTGCTGTGGAGTGCAATGTCCACTTGCCGCCAACCTTCATGAAAGAAAACCGGGTTCAGGCAATGTAACTGAATAGTGCCCCCTGTCTCTGCCAGGGTTTTATCTGCTATGGTTCTGAATGCTGCACCGAACGTTGCCCTGTTCCATGAATGGTTGACATGGTGGGGTACCGTGACACGTCCGAGCTTTAAGACAATTCAAATCGCACATGCCAGCAAAATGCCAGCGACCACCAATCCGAGCTGCTCTCTTCTTTGCGATCTGCGAGAACTTGAGAGAGACCCACTCCTTCTCTTGCAAGTCCAGGCATGTAAAGCTTTCATGAATAACAAACGAAATTCTTCTAGGCACACTGAGTGGCGCCAAGGCGCGATGCTTGACGCTGGAGCTCGGAGGTTCGTCGCTCACTGTGCCTTGTGAGTCAATGATAACGCAACTGCCTGAAGAAGGCATAAGCAGTCGGCAATCGAAGGCCGGCTTCCCGATCAAAGGTCCCTCAAGTTGACCAAATGAGTCTGCAGCCTTTGATTGTGCTATGCTATGCATGCCAACATTGATCTGAGCCACCGGGTCTGCGGCTGCTCCACGTCGAGCATATCTTGCCGCCTGTCCCAGCACAACAAAGCCAGGATCTGCACTTTGCCCAGAATCTCAGAGGTTGTCCTGGAGATAACCCAGACAACCGACACTTGAGCCGCGCCAAAAACCTAGAGGCCACCCTTCCTTACCAAACTTGTTTACTCTTATCTTTTTCCCATCAAATATCATAAGCTGCTACGTTATCTTTTCATTTACTCTTCTCGTTTTCCCTTGATCTGCACACGCCAATGAATTGTGTCAGTTCTATTTAAACCGTAGAGACCCCCGAGTTTTTTGTCCCAGCTGACTTGCTCTTCACATCTGCCCACGCCCTCTGCACCCATAGCTTCGTGAGCAGTGGCCCTGATTGCTTTACAGCAGCTCAAAGTTGCCTGGAGCAGCGCGATGCGCTTGACGATTGGCGCGTGCGGAGCCAAGAGCCTCCAGTACAACGCCAACACGAGTGTGGACTCCATGAGCTTGGATTTGCTAGTTTTGCTACTGATGCTACTGGCACTCGCTTGCACTATGTGTGTGCTAGCATGAAGACCTTCTGGCCAGCCAATTGTTGAAGAATTCTCGACGCCAGACGGATCATTTTGTTATCTGACGTTCCTGTCTCGGTGGGCAGGGCCTTGCTGCGGCTGCAACGAGGTCTGTAACCATGGAGAGGGAGAGTCCTGCAACAAGGATTGACTGGGTACAGGATCGAAGTGCAACGCTGCAACGCAGAAGTCTACTGCAGGGTCGCTCAAGCGAAATGCTCTGATTTCTTTGCATGTCTGAGTTCGAGTAACATTCGTGATTAGTGGAACATGGAACAACCGGGCTCTTGCCGTTGACTCTTGCAGCGGCTCAGAGGCTTCCGGCCTCTGACGGCTTGGAGTGCTCTCTTTCTACAAGGAGGGAGTGGTCCACAGAAGGGATCCGCTCAATGTGGAGGTGTGCAGGGACGGCTGCCTCTTCCTTTGGCAAGGACTGCTCTTCGTCTAGTGACAAGGTGATCTCCTCCACCAGAAGACCTTGCGCGCGGGAGAGGACGCGATGTGTTTTGGGCATGAGCTGCTGAAGGGTGAGCCGCTTCTTCAAGGAGCCGTAGCGCTCCCCAAGTTTGTTCAATGCCTGGACCGCTGAGAAGTCTGCCACATGACCAGTCTCGAAAACCAGGCGCACGTCTTCCGGATCTTTCTCCTCGTCGAAGAGTTCCAGGAAGTGCGAAGTGCTACCGAAGAAGAGCGTGCCATGGACATCGTAGACCTTGACGCCCTCGCGCTGCTCAGCCTCTCTGGCGACGACTTGGATTGTGTTCGAGGTTTCCAGAGCAAACACAAAAAGCGAGATGACCATGCCCACAGCCACAGCAGTAGCCAGGTCTGTGAATAACGTGACTAGCGTCACCACCAAAATCACTAGGGCGTCCATGCGCCTGATTTGCTGAGTACTCGTCTTTTTACCAAAGAACCGCTCTCGGGCTTTCAAAGGCAAGGCCGCAAGGAAGATGAGCTTTAGAGAGCTCCATTCAAAAGTGTGGTAGCAAACGTTGAACATCACGCCCACAAGCGCGGAGACGGGGATCTGCTTGATCGCTGGGTACGCAATGAGGACAATGATCAGCAAGAATGCCCCGGCTGACAGGGAGCTCAATCGGGACCGTGCGCCGGACCCGATATTGATCATGGACTGGCCTATCATGGCGCAGCCGCCCATACCTCCAAAGCAGCCGCAAATCAGGTTGGCGAGTCCCTGTCCCAAGCATTCCCGGGTTGGGTTCCCCTTGGTCTTCGTAATCTCATCGATCAGGTTCAGGGTCATCAAGGACTCCAGTAGCCCCACGGCTGCCATGGTCACAGAGAGGGGCAAGACCTTCAGCACTAGTTCCTTGTTGAAAGCCGGTGGTGATGGGTAGTTACTGTTGAACCAGAAAAGCATTGGAAAATCACATTTGCTAGCGATGTCGCCCACGATTGGCGTCTCTGTGTGAAAGGCAGCGCGGGCGATCGCCCATTCGAAGGCCGTGCCGATAATGATGGCCACCAAAGCCGAGGGCACGCGGGTGGAGAGCTTTGGAAGGAACATGCTCACGCAGAAAGACAGGAAGGTTATCAGCCCTGCAAAGAGCCCCACCTTGCCCTGTATAAAAGGCACATCATCTGTGAAGGCATGAAAGGCGTCTAGCCGCCTGCCTTCCGGCGCATGCAGCTTCGCTGGGTCCTTGAAATTGCTAATTTGCGCAAGCCCGATCACTAGGGCAAGCCCATTGCAAAAGCCGATCATCACTGGGACGGGGATAAGCTTCACAAGGGTGCCGACGCTCAGCAAGCCCAAAATTATCTCCAGGATGCCCATGATGATCACAGCATAGAAGAGGAGCTCCTTGCCATGATCTTGACTAACCATGCCGGGGACCAGCACGGCTAGGGAACCTGTGGCGCCACAGATCATGCCTGGCCGGCCCCCAAAGATGGCAGTGAAGACAGCAATGATCCAGGCAGAGTTGAGGCCAATGTCCGGAGGTAGCCCTGCTGCAAGGGCAAAAGCCACAGCTTCTGGAACCAGAGCCAGGGCTACTGTGAGGCCACAAAGCACCTCCAACCGAAAGTTGGCACCCAAAACACGGGAGAACACCGACGGCTTCGGTGCCTCCATCGACGAGTCCGAGCTTTCAGAGTCACTCGCCATGGCTCAGAAAACTTGGCCGCTTGGCCGCTCGGCCCCTCTTTTGAGCCGTGTACAGCTGCAGATCAAAGTGCGGCAAGCAGAACTGACAAGCCAGATCTGGTATTTGCTGGAGCCTCGAGCAGGCACATGTGCCGTACTGTACACGCAACATGAGCCGTAAAACCGAGAGAACTGGACAGGCACTGACAGTCGCTTTCACGTCGCTTTCACGCGTGTCCTGCGCGACATCTGAGAATGAAAAGCTGCGCGAATCCTCGCCAAACATGGCTAAACAGAGGTCACCCGCACCTTGAGTTTGAATGGTTCAAGCCATCTTATCTTTGAAGCGCTGCTTGCGGCCTTGGAGGCCTCCTCTAAGTATAAGTTCAGGGCCCAGCAGTGCGAACGCAGACGGGATGCAAGCGAAGGAGAAGGTCCAGGTAGCAGGGATGTTGGCAGGATAAGCAAGGAATTGTGGCCGCAGACCGTCTCACGTTGCAGCTCCCGTGGCTACAAGTTCCCCATAGATATTATTACCATCATTTCAATTATAATCAATGTCATTACTAGTATGTCATAACTCTTTTTAATTTATGATGAAAGCAGAGCTGGCAGACAAATGAAAAACCACCGGCGCCTCCTCGCGGAACGTGGGAGGCGGGATCCAGGCATCCCTTCCCATCGCGGGCTTCAGCGCTTGCAACATACTAAAGAAAGGCTGACTAGCACTTTTCTGAACAGCACTAGGAGGCATGTTACATCTCAACTGACGTATTCAAGCTCAAGGGTTTAACCGCAAAGCGCATCTCCACAGGTGAGATCAGCAGGTCCTCGAACTCACACATCTCCCACGGAACTCACGCAGCAACCATCCGATCCTGTGAACGTAACATAACGTAAGCCCGCCAGCCTCCTTGCTCGCACGATCCCCCGTGTTGAGTCTCATGTTTAATGTAGTTTAAGCGCATATAAGTTTGAGTGCGAACCCGTGCTAAATTCAGCTGCCAAAAATTAAGTGGCCGGCTGACCTGCGTGCAATCAATATTGGTGCAATTGTCTTGCTTAGCTCGATGACCAATAGAGATCAAGAGAGTGATCGCCTCGTGGTGGGGACCTCCCCCGGAATATCCGGAAGCCGCTGGCAATAGGGGCAGCGATGCCTTGGCTGGAAGTGAGAAGCCAACGCCAGGCTCCAAAATTAAAACAACTGTTCAACCACAGCTATCCTGAGGGAAACCTCGGAGGGAACCAGCTACTAGATCGTTCGATTAGTCTTGCGCTCCTATACCCGCGTATGACGAACGATTTGCACATCAGTACCGCTACGAGCCTCCATCA